CCCAGGACGCCCATCGATTTGAGGTGTGGGAACGTCACGCCTTCCACAGCAAAACCGCTGAAACCCAAGAAACCCAGGGCACCCTGGAGGCAAGCAGGGTGTTCCTTTGGCATGGGCCCCCACTGCACAATAAAATCCCAACTCACACGATGAAACGAACTCTTCGCACATCTGGCCCGAAGCTAAATGCTCCGCGTTCACAGAGCTGATCGCACTGTACTAAAATTGATGGACTTACGAATCGCGTTAAAATGGGAACACTGCCACTGTGCGACCTGCGCAATTTGCAACGGAAGTCGCGTAGATCTTGAAACAAACAGTGCAATCAGAAACATTTGCCGGCCTTCTGGCGATGCCCCAGCTGGTCGGCTAACACCTCCCCTGTTGGGGCTGACTCTGGAGGACGACCAGACAAAACCATCGGTGGTCCGCGAGGATCTCTTGGATCGACGCTGCATCCCCTTCCCTGCATGGCGCGACGGAGTGGCGGCGCCAGAGGCGCCGACAAGGGAGTCCCAAGCGCCGATCTAAGAAAAATGTACGCGCTGAGCTCCCAAATCAGAGACTCCGAAACCTGCGCGGAGCGCAGTTGTTCTTCCTCGACGCTCTAGATACCGGAGGAGGGCCAAGTGAGACAACGGGGACTCTCCCACCTCAACCAAACCCACTGGAAATCAATCCTCAAACCCCTTGCGAGGCGCACTCTGACTCGTCCTTCGCAGCGGATCCGGCCGTGGCGACGAGAAGCTCCCTGGAGGCTCCACCGCAGAGAAACACGCTCGGGAGGGCCGCCGTTGTCTCAACTCGACAGTCGGGTCGGGCGAAAGGGGGGGATAGCAAAGGGGGGGTTTGAGAACCAGCTCGCGTAGCTGATTTTCCCGGCGCCTCCCGGCGCCAGGAGGCGCCCATGTATCGAGGAATGGGCCCCTCGGCGGGGCCGAAACCAGCTGCATGCAGCAAATTTCGTAACCCCCCCTTTCCCAATCCCCCCTTTCGTCCGGCCCGAGACTGGCCCTCCTCCGAAGACAGCAGTCCATCTCCGGGACTCGTGCACATCTGCCGCCGAGCCCCTCCTGCTGCTCGGGGGCGACGGCAGGACGACGAGGGGCCCGCCCGGCGGAGGCGGCGGGGAGCGCGCGGCAGCGCGCGGCGGCGGCGCCGGCCGCGCGCGCGGCAGCAGGAGCGCCGGGGGGCTCGTGGCGCTGAACTCACCAGAGAAGCAGAACAGCGGCCAGTGCCGACGTATTCGACTTCTTGGGTCGGCGCCGGACCCCCTGACCCGACAGAGGGGCCCATGCCCCGCTCAAACAAAACTGCGCGCAGGGCTCCGAAAGTCAGAGGCTCCGAAGTCCGTGCGGAGTTCAATTTTTCTCCCGAGTAGCGTTTCGCTGTAGGGTTCGGCTCGTGCTCCAAGATTTCCTCCCACCATGAGGTCGGGCGTGTCCCCCATACAGATGGATTCTGGACGAAAGAATGAAAAGTACGAAACAAATGCGGAACAAGTTTTCGAACCTGGTCAAACAAAAATAATTACCTAACAGCGAAGACTGATAAGTTTCTAATGGGGTCAAAAGCGAGCATCTGATGACTCCCCAGAGGGGGTCTGGGCGGGAGCCGGACAGGCGAGGGCCGGGCTCGTTTTAAGCAAACAGTCGCACACTTCGTGCTCTTCGACCTCCCAGAACTCCACTCCTGGGCCACATTTTGGATGCCCGGAACCAACTGTAGGCCACTTCGTGCTCTCCGAATTCCCAGAACTCCATTCCCGGGCCACATTTTGGATGCCCGGAGCCAACTGTACGCCACTTCGTGCTCTTCAACTTCCCAGAACTCCACTCCCGGGCCACATTCTGGATGCCCGGAGCCAACTGCAAGCCACTTCGTGCTCTTGGACTTCCCAGAACACCATTCCCGGGCGACATTTCGAATGCCCGGAGCCAACTATAGGCCACTGCGTGCTCTTCCACTTCCCAGAACTCCACTCCCGGGCCACATTTTGAATGCCCGGAGCCAACTGTACGCCACTTCGTGCTCTTCCACTTCCCAGACTTCCAAGACTCATCATCTTCATCATCATCGTCCCCGTAGCCTTCTTGGCTACAGCCCTGCTTTCGAAGATTTCCTTTCAAAGGAACTGCGCAGCGCCTACTGCACACCTTAATGCCAGGACATGCTGATAGTTCTCGGTCTGGCGGCCACTGCGACTGCCACTGCGAATCCGAATGCGACTGCGAGAACACCAGAATTCTACAACAGCACTCTTACATGAATACCACAGGCAATGTTTCCAGCTATGCTTCTACACATCGCTGTTAGGTTGCTTTGCCGGGATAATCCCCCTATTATTTTTTTAATTATTTTTGAACCTTCCCCCTGTACAGGGACAGGCCCAACCTAAGGCTAGTGCTCCCACATTTCCTCCCACCAGACTTGGGTCCCAAGTCCAGAAGTGAAGCTCTCACTACGGTGCTTGGGCTCGAGCTGGTCCAGGAGTGAAACACACTACTGCGTCCTGGCGCGATTTCGTTTCGCCAGAGCCTCCGCAAAAGGAAGCCGGGGGGAGACGCTTCACCAGTCCGGCGGCTGGCCGGAATCGACTCACTACAGCGTTTTGGTTCGATGTCAACCTTCGCAGATCCAGACATGAGACTCTCTTCAACGTTCTGGCTCGATTTCGTCCAGAAATGATTTCCCCAAATGAAACTCATGATGTTGTTCTGGCTCGATTTGGTCCAGACATGAAGCCCACTATGGTGTTGTGGATCGATTCCAGTTAACCCGGATCTCCACAAGGGGGCCACATGTTCTGGCTCGATTCCAGCCTTCACAGATTCAGGCATGAGACGCACTCTGGAGTTCTGGCTCGGTTTGGCCCACGAAATGCAACGAACTGTTGCGTCCCCTCGACTTCAGCCCTCCCAGATCCAAACTTACGCTACCGAGGAAACCCCACATACTTAATTTGAATCTTATGTGTTTGCTTACGTTTATAAGATATGCGCAATTCTGCGTTCTGAGCCCTCGTCGCAAATGTTCCCCTATGTGTCATCCAACGCCATATTGCTTGAACCTCCTCCCTCTTCCTAGCCTTCTATCCTCCATCGAGCACAGAATCGAGCCAGCCAGCGGCCGCGGTGAGGGACCACCCCCCGCGCACCCCGTCTAGCGTCGAGAAAATGCCACGCTTGCTATGCCCTGGATTACCGTCGTGCACGGTGGCCGTCGTGAGGGACCACCCCCTGCGAACCCTCTATGGTGTCGAGAAAATGCCACGCCGGCTATGCCCTGGACGACCGTCGTGTATAGCGGCCGCGCTGAGGCACCACCCCCTGCGCACCCCCTATGGTGTCGAGAAACTGCCACGCCTGCTATGCCCTGGACGACCGTCGTGCATAGCGGCCGCGCTGAGGGACCACCCCCTGCGCACCCCGTCTAGCGTCGAGAAAGCGCCACGCTTGCTATGCCCTGGACGACCGTCGTGCATAGCGGCTGCGCTGAGGGACCACCCCCTGCGCACCCCCTATGGTGTCGAGAAAGCGCCACGCCTGCTATGCACTGGACGACCATCGTGTATAGCGGCCGCGCTGAGGGACCATCCCCTGCGCACCCCCTATGGTGACGAGAAAATGCCACGCCTGCTGTGCCCTGGACGACCGTCGTGCATAGCGGCCGCGCTGAGGGACCACCCCCTGCGCACCCCCTATGGTGTCAGGAACATGCAACGCCTGCTGTGCCCTGGACGACCGTCGTGTATAGCGGCCGCGCTGAGGCACCACCCCTTGCGCACCCCCTATGGTGTCGAGAAACTGCCACGCCTGCTATGCCCTGGACGACCGTCGTGCATAGCGGCCGCGCTGAGGACGCGCACCGCGTCGTTGCTATGCCCTGGACGACCGTCGTGCATAGCGGCTGCGCTGAGGGACCACCCCCTGCGCACCCCCTATGGTGTCGAGAAAGCGCCACGCCTGCTATGCCCTGGACGACCGTCGTGTATAGCGGCCGCGCTGAGGGACCACCCCCTGCGCACCCCCTATGGTGTCGAGAAAATGCCACGCCTGCTATGCCCTGGACGACGGTCGTGCATAGCGGCCGCGCTGAGGCACCACCCCCTGCGCAGCCCCTATGGTGTCGAGAAAATGCCACGCCGGCTATGCCCTGGACGACCGTCGTGTATAGCGGCTGCGCTGAGGGACCACCCCCTGCGTACCCCCTATGGTGTCGAGAAAATGCCACGCCTGCTATGCACTGGACGACCGTCGTGTATAGCGGCCGCGCTGAGGGACCACCCCCTGCGCACCCCTATGGTGTCGAGAAAACGCCACGCCTGCTATGCCCTGGACGACCGTCGTGTATAGCGGCCGCGCTGAGGGACCACCCCCTGCGCACCCCCTATGGTGTCGAGAACATGTCACGCCTGCTATGCTGCTATGCCCTGCTGTGCTGAGCTGAGCTGTGCTGTGCTGTGCTGAGCTGAGCTGTGCTGTGCTGAGCTATGCTGAGCAGTGCTGTGCTGTGTTGTGCTGTGCTGCGCTGTGTGAGAAGGGGAAGAGGGAGGTGAGGTGAGGGAGCGCGGGTGCGACGAGGCATGGAAGAAAACCAGAACCCCACTAAGCATGTGGGGAAATAAGAAAGAAGACTCACTGTTGCGTTCTGGCTCGATTTGGGGACGCACTCTGGTGTTCTGGCTCGGCTTGGCCCACGAGAAGCTCCCGGGAGGCCAACGCCACAGACGCATGCCTTGGAGGGCCGCCGTTGTCTCGACTGCGCTCCTCCGACGATGGCAGTCCGTCTTGGTATTATCCTTGAGCAGGGAACGATAGTCCTGGCATCCCTATAGGCCTCCCACGACATGTTCTGTAAACCCAAAAATGTTATGAGAACGAAAGCGCTGTTCTTAGACCATGAGCCCGATGAGTTAAAACAAGACGGTCTCAGCCAGAAGTGTTCTAACAACACGTCTTGCGGACCACACAAGGTTCTTAGAACATTCCTTGGTAGGCCTATTTGCGAGCTGGGACGCTTCGCCACTGCTTGACTGCCGCGGTTCCCCTCCTGCTGCTTGGGAGCAGCAGCGCGAGGACGAGGACCCGCCCTGCGGAGGCGGCAGCGCGCGCGCGGCAGCGCGCGGCGGGCGGTGGCGCCAGCCGCGCGCCGCCTGCCCCTAAACGGAGCAGCGCGCGCCGCAGCAGAAGCGGCGCTGGTGGGCTCGTGGCGCGCATCCAGCTTCCCCAGAAGAGCGAAGAAGTGCCACAAACAGATTCATAGTTCTGAGATTTTACGAGGCCAGGGACCCACCCATCCGCCGAGCGAAGGTCGACCACCCCGGGCGCCCAAGACGGCTCCAAGGAGGTCCAAGACGGTTCCGACACGGTCAAAGAGTGCTCCAGGACGGCGTCTGACGGCTCCACGACAATTTCAGAAATTACCAAAACGCCAAAAAAGGCACCCAAGTAGCTCCAAGACAGTCTAAGAGGCCCCCCAAGACGCCCCGAAGAACCCCAAGAGAACGCCAAACACGCCAAAATCGCCTGATTCCGTGAATAAAATGTACACTATTAGACATGCTCGCTTTTTTGCTGTCCAAGGTTCCAGGACGGTTCAAGAGGCACCAAATCGCCACAAAACGGATCCAGAGGCCCCCATCAAGCCCTAAGAGGCCCCCAAGACAGCCCCAGAGATCCCCACACGGCCCAGGATAACCCCACGACGGCCCAAGAGAGCCCCGAGACGGCACAATTCGGCCCCAAGAGGCTCCCCAAAAAACCCAAAGACAGCCCCAAGAAACCCACATCATAACCCTACGACTGCCAGAGGCCCCCGAGACAGCCCACAAGGGTTTCAAAAAGGTCCAAAGTGCCCCACGACGGTCCAGAAGGGCCTCGAAGTCAACCCGGAAGCGCCCAATAACAAGGACTCGCCTCCCACTCCGTTCGTGCTTCCCCTTTCTGTGCTCACGACTGCTCCAGAAGCTGGGACCCCAAGGGGCCGGCGGACTCGGACCTATTAGTGGGATCCCTACAGATGCGATAGGTGTGATTCTTTATATGGGGTTCTGTCTGAAATTCCGATCGCACGGATGGCGTTGCATCCTTATCATGCACAAACTCACGTATGTATGATGTTTAACTTGGTTACCCCACAAGTGGTATTGCCTGAATCTTCAATCGGGAGATGAGAAATCGCTCTTCACTTGCAACTTTCCATGCCTCTGTCATCTGTGATTACCTTCGGGCATTTCGACTTCTCGCACATTGCATAGCATGCATTGGAAGGCGGGGTTCAGGACTGCGCCAATGGAAACGCTGAAGAAGCAAAGAAAGCTTCCAGTAGAACCCAACAAACACTCAAACACCACCAGAAGACCCGAAAAGCTTTCGCGAGACTCCCGAAAGTACCCCAAGGATGAGGCCACCACGTAGTAAAATCTGACAATGGTAAAAAGCGCTCGCAAACGACGGGCACAAATGAAGAGGAAACATGAAGGACAGGTGATCTATAGCAGATTTGTAACAACGATGGGGCGAATAGCAACAAAGAACATGTGTCATTCTGCGTTTGTTGTTTGTTCTCCCTGTCTCTCTCTATATATATATCGCTCTCGTGTTGCTATCTCTCTCTCAGTCTCTCTCTCTCTCTCTCTCTCTATCTCTGTTAAGTGTTCGTATTGTTTGTTTCCTCTCTCTCTCTGTTTCTTTCTCTCTCTCTCTCTATTCCCCCCGTCGCCCCGCCTGCTGTCTCCGCGCCGATCCCACAAGGCCAAACTGCCTGGCGCGAGCCGCCAGTGCAGTATGTTTTTTTTTTTTTTTTTTTTTGTTATCTCTCTCTCTCGGTTCTATATATGTATATATATATGTGTATGCATATATGTTTATATACATCTATATACATACATACAAACATATGTGTGTATGTGTGTACATATATATATACATATACATATATACATATATATATACACAACCAGAACCACGCGCGCGCTTCGCGCACGCTTAGGTTCTAGCTAGGTTTCACGGTCGAACTTTGAAAACCTTTAGTTTGTGACCAAGCCCTCTGGGGAGCCCGAGAACTACGCCAACGGCTCAAGTAACTTCCAAGACATCCTGGGGCCATTCCGCAGCGACCTGAGAATGGTTCAAAAAATCGTCGTCGTCGTATACCTGTGTATGTTCGGATCCGCAAGGTGACCTCTTCTGGACCCCATGTGGGAGACCTCTTGGAGGTCGTCCTATCCGTTTTGAGCCATCTTGGGGCCTCGTTTGGGCCTCTTGGGGGTCTCTTGGGTCCTCTTGGAGGCGTTTGGGGCCTCCTGGGGGGCTGTTTTGGCGGACGGCTGCTATTTTCGAGTCGGAATTCCCCTCCTGGACCCCTCCTGGAACCGTCTTGGTCGGCCCTTGGGCCGTCTTGGCGCCTTTTGGCTATCTTGGGGGCCTCTTGGGAGCGTCTTCGGCTTGCTTGGGGAAGTCTTGGGGGCCTCTTGGACCGTCTTCAAAGCCGCGAAAGTCCCAAACTCGTACATGCTTAAAGATCCTCGTGGGGGGTGCTTTTGGAGGCCTTTGGAAACGTCTCGGAGACTTCTTGGACCTTCTTGGGGCCATCTTAGGCAGTCTTGTGCGACTCGGGGCCTTCTTGGGCCTTCTTGGGGCCCGTTTTGGGGCTACCTTGGGCAGTCTTTTGCTTCTCTGTTTTCCAGTGCACTGCTTGAGGAAACGAAGCCTAGCATGGGGCGCGTTGGCAGGCGGCCACCGCCCGACCTCAAGTGCACGCAGTTCCCACTTACAAGCATTACGCTGGGTCACCCGTGCAAAAACATCTCCACTTGCGAGAAACACTCTTGGCCTGAACCGTCTGAGAGAACCTCTGAGCGAGGCGGCGACGCAGGGCATCAGGATAGGAAGCCTTTTGACGCGTGCGAAAAGCAACGGCTCCCTTACCTTTGCCGGACAATTCAAGATGAGGCTGCCCTGAAAAGTCACAAACCCCTCTCCCATGGCATTTCATTGACAGGAGCGAGCGAAAGGGGCAACAGTGCAAGAACTGAAACTTCGTGCGCGCGCGGTGGGGGCGATCCGCAGCGCACTGATCGACGATGGCTTCAAAGAAGAAAGGGGAGGAAAAATGCCTACGCAATCTGTCAGGGAGCTGCCACAGCCAACTGCGACACGGATTCTCTTCACCCGCTGGGAGACCAAACTTGTTAGCTGGAGTCCGAAGCTTTGCAGCGCGTGCGGCGAGAATATTACCGAGCTCGACCTTGGCCTGATCTGAAGCGCTCAGATTGGGCAAGCCAAAAACATGAACACGATCCCGCAAACGGCGGGGCACGCGAGAAGTGGGGCCGCCTCTGCGAGCTTGCGAGAGTGTCTCGCAAGGCGTGCCCATGAACAAAGATTTGGCCCTGCCGCTTTCAATCCAACCTCTAAGCACAGCGAATGAGGCAGACTGGAATAAATCAAACTCTCGGCCGTGCAACAGATCCCACTCGATGACCGCGTGCCCGGCTTGGCGCAAGTGTCTCGCCAACTTGCCAGACCCACTAAATAGTTCGATGAACTCACGTGAATCGCGACCAGTGCTACTATTTACAGCTGTCTCAAGAACTGAATGAAGGCGGCGTCGAGCCCAGCTGCTAAACTCTTGATGGCCTGGCGTTGGGCAGCCGGAATCCTCATTCACTTGGCCGCCACTCGCCCGAGCTTGCCGGAGCGCAGCACGCTGTTGCAGTCGCGACAGCTTCCTCACTGCTGCACCTCCATCAGCACGCGGCTGCCCATCAGGCGGTCGTGGCTGGCGCCGCTGTGCCGGAGGCTGTGTAGCATGCCTGCTGAACAGCTGGCTCCGAAAGCCCCGGGTGCCTGGCCAAAGCGCTGCAGCAGGTGGCTGTAATCGAAGTCCCACCGCAGGCGCCAGGGGCCTGGGCGCAGGCTGCGAAGGCGCGCCAAGGCCCTGGCCAGGGCCTGCTGCCCAGGGCGGTCGAACACCATCGCGTGGTCCATCGCGAGGCCGGCTGCCGCAACTCTGCCACGTGCACCACCACCGACATGTGCGAGCCCGCCCTGCCGCGCGCCCCGCAGGGCCCCGCGAGCGGGGCTGCCCGCGGCGCCAGCGCCGCGGGAGGCCAGAGGCACCCCTCGAACATCAGCATGACGAAGAGGGCGATCGCGAGCACCGCGTCCCACATAAGGACGGGCCAGACGCGCAGCACCTCTAGCGTGGGCCAGCCTGCCAGCAGCCGCAACATCTTCCGGTAGAGCACCTGAATGGACGGCCACGCAATGTTGGTAGCCGGAAAACCCTTGCGGTGCAGCAAGCGGGCCCGCTCCTGGTCGGAAGGCGGCGGCGGCGGCGCTCTGTTCACGACGGATCCGCCACCGCCAGCGGCAGGCCTCAGAGTCGGCGAAGCGCCTCCCAGCTCCAGCAGGCCCCGAAGCCCGAGCAGCGGAGCGGCCTGCAGCATCGGATCTCCAGCATCGCGACTGCCGCGGTGGCGCCTGAACTCCACCGACTGCTTGGGCCAAGACGGCTCCGGACCAGTCTGAAACCGTCTTGAGGGACCATCTGCAGGGTTGAGCTCTGCGGGGGCCCACCTGAATGCGACCTTCAGGTTGCAAGCGACCGAGATTTAGGTTCGTGAGTTGCGACGACAGGCGGTCCACGACCACTTCGGGCCAAAAAAACCCAAACCAACAAAAAAACACAAGAAAATCTTGAAACCATAACCTGGGGAGGTCGACATCCTGGGGAAAAAAACTCAAACACCGAACCTGCGAAAAACTCAAACACACAAAAACATGGGTAAAGCCTGAAGCTCAAACCTGGGGAAAAAACTCAAACCAAACAAAAACACCGGAAAATCTCGAAGCCGAAACCAGGGGAAATTTAGAAACAAAAACTATGGAACAACTCTGGAAACAAGATCAAAAAGACTCTGCAACAACTCTAAACAACTCGGAACAACTCTAAACGACTGAAAACTCTAAAAGAAGGTTTGGGGAAACTCCAAGAAAAAAACTCTCAGAGCTTGACAACATTTTCTCACAACAAGAAAAAAAGTTATACCAGACTCTGGAAACTTTTTTTCATAACAAACATTGGGGAACTACGGAAAAACCTATCTCTTTTCTTTTCAAGAACAAAACTTACGGGGTGGAGTTTCTTTTTCCGGGTCTGAGCTGCAGGTCTTTTTTTTGCCCTTCAAAGTTGCTTGTAGGTTTGAATTTGTTCCCAGGTTTCGGCTTCACTTTTTTCTGTAGTTTCTCCTGTGTTTGAG